GTGAATCTGTTCTTAAATTTGAAATAAAATATTATTTAAGATGTAGGTAAAATCAGAACTGATACAGTAACATTACATTCTTCTTGTGATTCATTAAAATATATATTTTGAAATAATTTAAATACAGTAAAAACACTAGACAAACATAGTCCTTAGATGTAGTAGTCCCCTTGAAATGCTTTATTATAAAAAAAACCATACCTCTAAACTTTACTCAAAACAATGAAACCCTCATGTGTAGTCCTACCATGAGAAAAATATTTTGAGAAAATGGGAAGGTGGTAAATAAAATTAATTTTAAAATACTTTTTTTTTTTTAAATAAAATATCAGTATTTGAATGCCTGAGAGATGCCAATCATCTTGCATCCTAACATATGCTAAAACTTCAGGAATGCAAAACAACTATTTGTAAATAATTATGTGCATAGTACACAGACTTATAAATATCATTTCTGAGAAATCTATGAATAAACATATTCTGGCATTTCCAATAAAGCCTTCAACTTACTTTTTTATTTTATCTGAAGTCACCTTTATCCTTTCTTATTCCATCTGTTTACTCAAAGTATTTGAATACACTGAAGGAAAAACTGTGATTTAAATTGCATGGTAAGAAATGGGGTTTTTATTTTGCTTTGTGTTTACATATTCAGGTGGTTTTTTTAGTTTACAGGACAGGAAACCAAAGAGAAACTTCTGTGAAATATATGTGTATTTTTATATATTTGTTTTGGTTGTTAGGTTGGTTTTTTTTTTCCAGAATAGACTGTATTTATTTGAAATATGCAAGCCAAAAGTTCATAATTTCAAAGATATGTGGGTAACTTAGAGGAGAAAGTTAGAGTGATGGCCACCAAAATTTAGGCCTGTAATTTCCTCAGGTACTTTTTAACATGTTATAGTATTGTGCTGTGTTAAGTTGAGGTATCAAAACACAAAACTGATTCAGTCTTTGCTATTAAAAAATGAGTGTAAAATGAGTGTAAAAAAATGAGTTTAAAAAGTGAATACAATTTAAAATGATTTTAGAAGCACAATTATAGATAAAGATTATCCTTCATGAGAATGCAAAAAAAACCATGGCATTTGGCATTTTGTCTAAAATAGTGTTTTGCTGAAGAAGTGGATAACTGTAGCCAACTAGAGTCCATGACTGTAGACAAAGGTAACAGGAATTGCTTCAAGCGTGCTCCTAATTATTCCAGTTCCTGGCACTGGGAGGAAGTATCCCTTGCATCTCCAGGGTGCCTTGGAAATGCCTGCCTGCCCTGGCAGCGGGACCAGACTGTCCCACCAATCCCAGACCGGCCATTTTGAACAAGGGTTCAGGGGATTGAGTAGGAGTACTAAATGGAGACTTCACTGTGATCTAATTTTAAGACTTCTAAAACAATATGACGTTTTTAGGCAAAATATTATAGAGAAGACAATTACTATTACTGATAGTGATCTCACTTGCACACTCAAGGACCTGTAGTTGAGTGCTCATAATCCAATCTGAGTATCAAGGATGCAGGAATAAGTATAAACTATTTAAGAAGGTTCAGTGTGAACATCAGTCCAAGTCTAAAGTGTTTATGACTTGAAACAAGCTTAGCTAATTGCTAATCAATATGCTGAATCCTGAGAGAGAGTTTTTTTACCAGGATATAGATAACAGTAAACCTAATATGCAGCCTTGGGAGGGGGGGGGAGAAAAGTTAAAACAGTCTAAAATGATAAACCAGATCTGAGAAGCACAGCAATTTACAGAAAAAAATCTTTGCCTTCAACAAGGGTCAGTATTTTCCTGCTTGCATCATCACAGAATTAATCTTTACCTTTCCCTGTTAATAAAGCAGAAAAATTAAAAAATAATTGTTTGTTATCCATATTTAGGTTATGTAAACTTAATCTCTAAGCAATATGAGTTATTTCTGCTTGCTGTATTTAGTAATATGTTTAGCAATACATAACAATGACTTAATGAAACTCAAGCTTATTGAATTAGATGTTTTGAAGCAGCTCACAGAATGCATATGAAATTATAACAGTATAACTTATTCTACTTTATATAGCAAAATTTGGTTCTTTTGGTCTTTTGATGGATACATATGGATGTAGTTAAAAGCAAGAATCGGAAGATAGGAATTAGAAAATACACAGGCAAGGTGAATTTGCATATCAACTTGAGAATACAGATGGAAATTAAGGTGTATTTAATCAGGCACTTTATATTAGCATTATTGATTACCTAAAGGGTTCTGGCTGTCACAGGCAAATGTCAGATGCTCTAATTATATTACTGTACAACTTGTGTATGAGTTAATTGCACAGGGGATTGCATATAAAACAAATTCAGCCTTTGTTTTTCACACTTCTTTTTTTTTCTTCAACAGATCTTTTACATCTGCTGGACGAAGACACCATGAAATACGGTTTCTGAATGCAGATTTGTTTTGGGATGTTCAATAATTTTATGTATGCAGACAGTGTGATTCCTATCTCTGGTTTACCAATGGGTCTATAAAGCCTCACAGAAAGATTAATTACAACTCACATCAATTTTGGCCTCTAGATGTCATGTAAAGAACATAACACCAAAGAGGAAGCAGAAGAATTCTGATTATGTCCATCAGAGAAAAAAAAAAAAAAGAGAGAATAACAGGTAGGTAGTGGAATTTTAAAAAGGGTTGGATTTACAGTTTGCATTTTTTAAATAACTGAAGTTATTAAAATTAAATGGCAAGTAGGAAGAAATAAGTTCATATGAAGAAATGTTACTGATTGAAGAACTACTTCTAGAAATCAGAAAGATTTAAGAAAATAATAAACAAGGTACAAGAACTCACAGATGTCATATAACTGATATTCAAGGTTAAAACTGGTACAGAAAATATAATAGCTACCAAAGATGTAATAGAAATATAGCTATATACCTGACCTTTTGCATCAAACTCTACCTGCCGTTCCAAGCATTCCTCAAAATACTTTTGATATCACTCAGAAAAATAATTTTCCAAATATTTAATTTGCAGTTTTAAAATGCACAGTGCAAACACCATACACAACAGCATTTTTCCAAGGATCTTAAAATGCATTGGTCATGCTAGTACCATATAACATAAATAAATAAGATTATATTAATATTTTCAGGTCAGTAAATAGCAAGAAAAAGTTATCGAAATGCAGGTCCAAACTCTAATTCCAAATTGGTAGCAAGGCCAGAAGAGAAACCTCAAAATCTTTTTCCCACTGAATTAAACACTCATTATCAAATATAAATACAAAAAGCGACAGGAAATCAATTTAAATTCTATACGGAAACTTGCATGCAGGGTTTCTAAGACATCATGCTTTTTGATATAGTAAAACACTCTGGAAAACTGCAGGTGCCTACAGACTTAGATCCATGGTGAGTAGGACTCGGGAGGAGATCAACCCCCTGTACTCAGCACTGGTGAGGCCCCATCTCAAGTACCGTGTCCAGTTTTGTGCCCCTTACCACAAAAAAGATATTGAAGCACTGGAGCGGGTCCAGAGAAGGGCAATGAAGCTGGTGAGGGGTCTGGAGAATAAGTCTTATGAGCAGAAGCTGAGGGAGCTGGGGTTGTTCAGCCTGGAGAAAAAAGGGCTGAGGGGAGACCTTATTGCTCTCTACAACTACCTGAAAGGTGGTTGTAGAGAGGCGGGTGGCGGTCTCTTCTCCCAAGTCACAGGCAATAGGACAAGGGGAAATGGCCTCAAGTTTCACCAGGGGAGGTTCAGATTGGATATTAGGAAAAATTTTTACACTGAAAGGATTATTAAGCATTGGAATGGATTGCCCAGGGAAGTGGTCGAGGCACCATCCCTGGAGGTATTAAAATGACGGGTAAACATAGTACTTAGAGAAATGGTTTAGTAATGGTGTTTTATCAGAGTTAGGTTGATGGTTGGACCAGATAATCTTAAAGGTCCCTTCCAACCTAGAATATTCTATGATTCTGGGATCCTATACCACCAGTGGACATCTCATCTTTATGTAGGCATTGTGTACAAAGTACACATGTTAAACTGAGACCCAAAGAAAGTGTGTATCCTAAAGGTTGAGTGCTGTACATTACATCTAAAATGAGCCAGCAGAGTAAAACTGATCTCATCCTTGGTTGTGAACATCCCTGGAGGTGTTCAAGGCCAGGCTGGATGGGGCTTTGAGTAACCTGCTTTAGTGGAAAGTGTCCCTTGCCCGTGTCAGGGAGGTTACAACTAGATGATCTTTAAGGTCACTTCCAACTCAAACCATTCTATAATTATGTGATCCTTAAGGCCACAAACCTGATATTTATAAGCTATGCTTCTCCACTCTTTGGTTGTATCAGCCACAAATCTCTTAAATCTCCAGCAGTTTGTGCCTTTTCCTCTCTTACAGGCTTCTCCCAAGGTTATCACCAGAACTATCAACCTGCCAGTATGAAAACTTTGTCTCACAGCTTCTGTTTCCACTGACCAAGAGTCATTTCCAAGCACAGAGGCACAGAATAAGCCATGGTCCATCTTGTGCCAGTTGTTCACCTCTTGGTAATGATTATTTATAATGACACAGCAGGTAACACAATGCTACTTGGAGTATGATAGTAGTTTCATACTTCTTTAAGTGTCCTTTTTTAATTTTCTCTCTCCTTTCTCTAAAACATTTTTTTCCTTTTAAGAGAACAAATGCATTAATCAAAAATAGCTGCAACGGACTGACCATGTTGATCACACTTAATAGATCTAATCCTTTAAGTATACCCTTTCCAGAACTTAAAGAATAATGAGATTAGAGTCTTACAAATAATACATTCTGCTTGAAATTTCTGAGTGCCTCAAATGCATAAATACACTCACTCTTGATATACAACATCGAGTATTTTTACTCAATCTTTGGTATGTTTACACACTTGTAGTTTTATTTCACTTCTATTAATAGTAAAGACTGGAAGCAATGTAAGGTAACACCTAACATTGTTACTCACAAAATCAGACGCTGTTACTCACCTTGCATTTCAGTTATGCTCTCTGATTCTGAGGAACATTACGTGTTAAGTAAAAACCACCTTTAAGAAAACTACCTCTTGCCCCAGCTTCTTGCCCCATCTGGATCAGCCACCTTCCACCGGTCGTTGCAAACTGTCTGTAGGAGTCAAAAGCAAGGCTTCAAGCTTTTTTTTTTTTTTTTTTTTTTTCTATGCAAACAAAAAATTGTGAATGATTTTGTTCTTATGCAGACCATTTCTGGATCATTAAAAAAAAATCTCATTTCTCAATTTCTTGGCAAGTAGCAGTGTACAGTAAAAAGTTGCCCCAGTCCATTAAACAAACATGATATGAACTAGCTCATAACAAAACATAAATGAAATTCTCTATGACAAAACAGTAACAATTCTGCAAATGTGTGTGTTAAATTGTAACGGCTCAAGGTCTTTTGTGATCAAAACTTCTGCTCAGGTTGGCAGGTTCTATTCTGGGAAGTCTCAGATTTCTGTTAAACTGGCCTTTGGCACATCAAGTGTTTGTAGGCTGAGTTCAGAAGCTTTGGAATAATAGTTTATGAGTGAGTGCAAAGGATTCTCTACAGGCACAAAAAGTATGGGGGGGAAAGAAAGGATTAAGCAGGAAATTATTTTAAAAGTGTGGTTTTTTCTCTTGTAAAAGATTCTAACCTTGTGAAAGAAATAGTTTCTAGAAAATTAAACAGTGAAATAGAATTGAATTTTTAAAACACCAGTTAATATTTTGTGTCTTGAAATTAATTAAATTAAAATATATTTCAGGCATACAAAGTGTCTTTTACTCAATTTAATCACTGGTTAATTTGATCCTTCATTTAATTTGATCAAAACCCCAGGAATCAAATCAGCTGTATTAAAAATAGCAAAACTTTCACTCCTTATTTTGATTAATTTTGATCGCCTTAGGCAAGTAATATCATATAATTCAATCACTGGTTATAGAACATCGCCATTTTAATTAATTATGAAAATGAAAAAATTGAGTGAGAACAGAGATAAAAGCCCAAGGAAGAAAATGTATTTATAACAAAAGGACAATTACAACTCAATGTTCTGTTATTAAGACATTGTTACTAAAATTTTTGTTCTACTATTTGTCATTGTAACCCACTTGCTTACTGCTCAAGCCCAATATGCAATTTTACGTATTACTCTACTGTAAGCATAGGAAGATAAAAAGTCAATAAAAAGAAGCGCCACCTCTTGAGATTCTCTTGCAAGGAGAAGCCACTTGTACAATGATACACAGCATTTAGCCCTCTAGGGAATTTCAGTCCTTCCTTGAGGCAAATCTTCTCAGATAGGCTGTTGTCTTTGCTTTCCCACCACTTCAGGAAAAAAACTGCTGTCAGAAGAGGCTCAGGAAACAAATGAAATTATTTGAACAGAGCTGAGGAGAGAAGAGGGAGAAGAAAGTATTCAGCAGGTCTTTTCATTACTTTCCATCCCTTTTGCTTTATTCTCCTTTCCTTCTCACTACTGACAGTGTCTGGTTGGAGAAGCAAAAAAGGCAAATCTGGTGAATCAATAGAAAGGCAGATTCCCTGAAGAAGCATTGAGGCTGGTAGCACTCAGAATAATGGAAAAGACTGGTGCCATAATTGCTGTTCAATCAGACTAATATTATGTAGATAAGTGACTCTCTAACTTGCCTTCATAAATATGGCAGGAAGTCAAAATAAGTAATGCATATAAATATTTCCAGATCCAGGAAACCAAGAGAATAATAATAATAACAACCACCACCACCAGAATGTAGAAAAAACCCACAACCCAACTGTTAAAAAAAAGTATCTTGGGATCTTGTTTCCTACTTGTTTTCTTCTTTTTTCTTTTGTCTTCTTTTGTTTGGTTTTTAGAATTAATAACATTGACTCACTAGTCCATGAACACAAATATATTTCAAAGCTAGTAGAAATCCGAGATAGAATTTATCACCTCCCAGTTATGCATTTTTAGCGTCTAAGATTTTGCAAATTTAGGTCTGTTGAAATCTGGCCTTGAGGGGAAGTATGTATGACTCCCAGCTGCCTCCAGATTTCATTGATACATGTGATACTAAGAATAATGAAAGCATTTCGAGTGCATTAAGGCTCTGATCAGTACCAACATGAAAAGCATTTTTAAATGACGCATCGAAACATTGAAATATATTTTCCTCCTATCATACATCATTTTTTGACTCATAACTGCGATGCAATTTTCTTGAATAAACTAAGTTATAACTCCAATGCTACATAGGTTCAATGGTAGACAAAAAATTTTAGGGTGGTTTTAGACGTAACAAGACCAGACCAACAGAAAATAATGAAGTACCCATTATTCATCTTCCCTGAGAAAAGGAAATATTATGGAAACTTCTTTTCAGACTCAACAAACTAATGCAAACCCATGAGATTTCATAACTGATTCTTTTTTCTTTCTTTGTGTTGGTTTTTTTTTGTTTTTTTTTAATTATGAATTTTTATTCCACTGTTCAATCCGGATTGCAATCCAATGAAATTCTGAATTATTGGACTGTCCCTCAGAATTTCTGAATCATATAAAGCCCTGACCAGGCAGCAGTGATCAAACGTATGTAGTCTTGTAGCAGATCTATAAAATCTGCTACATAATGTACATTTTGGAATTGGCTGAAAAAAAAAAAAATATCTTTCACATGAAATACTCCTATTTAACTTTTACTTAACTTTATTCAAGTTACCATAGTCATGACATGGTATATTTTCTTGTTTAGACATCCCAGCTAGTCCCTGTCCATCCTCAAAAAGCTCCTAGCGTTGAGATTGTTCTCTTTCCACATTCCCATCCCAGCACTTTGTATTTAATATTGTTTTTTTCCAGCACAAAAAAAAAAAATCATCACTCTGAGGACTGACTGTGTTGTCTGTTGTTCATCTTTCTCATAACCTAAACAGTTTGTAAGTATTACCCTGTTGTTGCACTAAATTGCTGAAAGGTTCCTACAAAGGAGACAATCCTTCTTAGTGACCTTACAAATTAATTCTGCGTATTCAGGCATTTTAAGTGAAAAGCTGTGATAGCAGTGGGAAATTCTCTCAAGAAGTAAGTCCATACATACAATTCCATCTATTCTGAATTGTTCAGCTTTACCTGTGTTTGTTCTGCACTTCCCTCAGGCTCAGAGCTATTCTCCAGCACAGCATACACTGCAATTCAGCTGGTAAAATTAGTAATTATTCAGATATTCAAGAGATGATTTTTACAGACAGTCTATATTGAAAGACAATTTCATTTGAGAAAAAATAAAAGAATTGCTTACAGTAATGCTCAAACAACACCAGCAAGCTTTTGCATCACTCTGTTTTTGTTTTGTTGGTTTTTTTTTTTGTAATGTGCAATCTGTAAAGATAGCTAAAACAACGATTTAATCTTCTTTTTTTTTCAGTAAATAAGCTTTCAAAAGTAGGAGAACATAGACTGTGATTAAGAACGCATTTGTGAGTATAAAAGACAGTCAAAGACAGAGAAGAAACACTAGGACACAGCTTTGCAAGGTTTTGAAAAACAAAGGGAAATAATGCATTTATGTCAAGCTTTTTCCTGATTTGAACACCTTTTCTCCCACCAGCAGGTAATGTTTCAGAGAAAATGGAATAAACTTACCTCCTTTCCTCTTTCCTAGAATGTGTCTTTTTCCCTGTCTCAAGGATCTGTGTTATTTTTACTTTTCCATGTTTACAAACAAACTGTTGAAATTGATTGTCTGGGGAAAACATGGCATAATTTTCATTTTAAGCATTTTTAAAGTTGTGAAAATGCAACAAAATATGGATTTAAATAATTTTCAAATATGCTTTTATTACTTTTAAAATTTAATTATTATAAGAACAGTATCACTGTATTAAAACCTAATTACCTTATACTCTTTCTGGCTTCATCACAATGCTCATAAAATGCTTAATATTCATGTAACATGCTACCTTACCCTGTAATATCACCATATTTATGGAAAGAAATTGTAATCCTCTTTACTGGCTCAGGTTAATTCCAATAAAATATTAAATCCATTTTCTAATCTAAATGAGTTCATTAGGAGAGGCATGGTACTGAGAATACCAAACTCTCTACAGAGTTCAGCTTCATTACATTTCAGCACTGTGCATTTCCAGAGCTGTTGTACTACATTTATAAGGATTTATCTATACTGTTCCAAAAACATTCATCCTAATTCTACTCCTTCTGTGCATGCTAATCATGAATATGTTAAGTGGAAATACTAAGCTAGCAGCCAATCTCATCCCCAGATGGGTTCAAGTTATGATTACAGAAGCAAATTTGCCATAAGCACTCGTAAAGCAGTGCCAGAGAAGAGGAAATGAAGGTTTGGAGATTCTTTTTTTTTCTTTTTTCTACCCTCCCCCCCTCCTTTTTTTTTCTCTTTAGTATAGTGGGGGAAAAAGGATCTTTGACAAGGAGGAGAAATGTCGTAAGATGCTTAGAGGGCTGATATTTCCAAAATGATGTAAACTATTTACCTTGTGTTAAGTCTTTAAATGTTATGCATGGAACAATTCTAAGCAATATAAACCAAACTCCTATGGGCTGAGTCCTGGCATCTTCCTCAACTTTAAGGGCACCTCTCCACAAAAATAATCCCACTGATCCTGAGAGAATTGCAGGCAAAGTGCAGCTAGCTCAAACATCCGAGTGTAAATGAAACACTTATCTTCATTAAACTAAAAAGCAGTCAATACAATTATTTTTACCCTGGCTTTTAAGGCATCATCACCAGGAGTAACTTGCTCAGATAAAATTTGTATTTTTAAGGAAGAAATCAAACTAAAATGCAGACAATGCAAGCTATTCTCAAATTATTTATATCCGTGTGCCACGTATATGTATTAACTGCCAATCAGTAAAAAAGGATGACCTCTTTCCTTCAAACCTTTTTCATTTCTCTTCAGAGGAACTAAAGCGTGATTCTTTTACACAGTTAATTTTCTTCAATCCCTGTTTCATACATTACCAGCAAGTCACCAAAATGTTTAGTGGCCATACATATGTAGATACACTACTGAAATACGGACAACAACCTGGGTCAGTAGGTACCCACTTCATCTAATTGCACAGATTTGTACTGAACAGCTAGAGCACATCTGTTCTCAAGAAGGGAAGCACTCTTTTCTTTTAAACTCATTGCCAGAGTTAAGACAAGTAAAAGAAAATAAATTAGCTCTGTCCTTTACCTTTGAAGAATGGATGTGGGTGGCTGGTAATCTGAAGGACATCCACAATGAACAATTTGGCCAGTTTTAGGTGACTGGCCGCTGGTTGTCACTGTTGCTCCACAAAATAGTAGCTGCAGTCGTGAACTTTCCAAAGTAGTCCTCACAGCCCAGACTTGCAGACTTTTGGTTGATCCATTTACGTGGCCTGAGGTAAAGGCATCCACTGAATTTTAATAGCCTTCAAAGCTGGATGGGTATGTTAAAAAAGGGCAGCTTTGTCAAAGACAAAGAGATCAGATAACTGGAAGCTGTATAGTGTTGTGACAAAAAATACAGCAGGGTTGAATATACACAGAAGAAAATTAAACACAAGTGCTAAAAAAAAATCACATTATATTGATTTAAAGCCCAATCACTCAAAAACTCCTAATACAATGCTGCTCACCCCAAATAGTTCTCACTTGACAACTGTTGTTAGGCTCTTTTTAATACTCTTTGCATATTATGGAGCTGAACACTAACTATGCAACCCTCAGTGCTTCTCTGAGTAGTGTCATTGGGAAATTTGCTTAAATTTGAGTATCTACAAACACCAGCTACTAACACAAACCACCCAGTGGTTCTATTCAGAGTGTCAAGCACTGAGTTTAATAAAGTTTGCAAGAACAACTCATTGCCACAGAATCAGACCAAATTAATTGTGAAGTTGGTCTTCCACTTGTTCACTAAATTCTTCTGAGTAACTCTTTTCTGGAGATAAAAAGACCACCAATTATTTTATTTAAATGGAAAATAACAAATTTAAAATCAATGGGAGAAGCTTGCAGGGATTTTCAATGTTATGACCCACTTTATCTTGTTAAGAATTGTATTCTGGCTCTAATACAGCGATCTTACACCACATAAATGGCTGAATTTCACAATGATTTTCTTTGAACTCTCACTTCAATGAGAAAAAAACAAAGAGAGAAAATATTTAGATAGAAGGCAGGTTACAAATTCTAGGTTGGCTCTTGTGGGCTCCTGACTAGTTAGAAAGGAAAAGAATGTTAATTTTAGTCTCCTTCACATAAGTCAAAATCAAACTTTTAAAATCAAGAAGCTTTGATTAGACTGCTTTTTAAAAGAATATTCTCGAATATATGAACACAACATTTTTCCAAAAGTAAAGAGAATTCATTAACACTCACTTTCCCCTCCAAATAGCAGTGCCTGAATAATTAGAAGGAATATACATTTTGCTGTGGTATGTTTATATTTCATTTCAGTAGCCAATTAACAGATAACTAATAGTCACATATCAAATGGGTATTAATGGGTATTTCCTATGTTGTCCAGTAACACGTATCTTCAGATAGCTCCTCTGTGCACTTGATTTTGCTCAATTTTTTTACTGTTTTCTCTAACTTTCACTATTTTAATGAGCTATTTGTTCATATATTCTTAGTTAAACAAAAATTCATTTACCACATTTGTATTTTTGAAATAATCAGTACTAATTTCCCTCACACGCAGTACATTTCTGTGAGCCCAGACAATGACTTCAGTGACTGCTACTTCCTCCTCTACTGACGAGCACCAATTAACTGTACAAAACCTCCCAAGTTCTCAGTGTTAAAACATTACTTCTTTGAGTTCAAAAGGTCACAAAACACAGAATCAATTAGAATACCAGAAGGCTGAAAACAAACATGGTAAATTATGGGATTCCCACAAAGAGAAAAGAGGGACTAAGAAATACTATGACGAAGCTTTCCATCCCATCACACACACATTTCTGCCCCAAGACAAAATGTTAGCTGCAGTTCGTCACAGAAGAAGGGATACCCAAGCAATCCAGTGGTGGTATATGAGTTACTGGTTTGTTAAAAAAAAAAACCCACCTTTGATTGTATACTGCTGTGGAATAGTTTTTGTGTGCATTTAAGAGGAGCTCATAATCTGCTCAGCATACAGGATGGGGGTTCCCTTTCTACCTTTCTGTTCTGTGCCATTCTTTTTACTTCTGAAGCACAACAGAGTCAGCAGAGTTGCAAAGGAGTATCAAATTTTGCAGTGGCTTTCAAATGTGTCCAAGTACCCAACAGAGAGTATATTAAGGAGATTATTCAATTATTGCATAAATTGGAGTCTTCTTTTGCAGCCTACTGTGATCTTAGAATCTCCTTTCCTTAAATTAAAAAAAAATCCTAAAAAGGTATTTTATTTGTAGGTATAATAATAGAGGGAAAATTACTTCAACCCCAGAAAGCTATTTTAAAACCCTTTGTAAAGTACGTGAATTACAGGTTATTCACAATCTGATTACATTTCACTACATTCAATAGTAGTTAGCTTTCTTCTGACACTATAGGGTTTCTAAAAATGTCCTCTTCTATTTTCAGATAGGGAGACTGAATTTCTATAATCAATCTTTTTACCGTGATACTTTCAGAAAGGAAGAAACTACTGCATATAGATGAGTCTACTTTATATGTTTATTTGGAGGGACACTCAGTAGGAGTTTATAAACACCTTGCCCAGCAGCTCCCTGAGGAGAAGGTACATCAAAACCAAGCTGTGACATCAAATTGAGAGATAAATCCACACCAAGGCAGATTTTAGAGCTGCAGAACTCCTGCCTGACAGTGAGGTGATGCAGTGCTGCCGAGTCCAGTCAGGCTCCAAGCCTTGAAGATAGGCAGCTTGTTTTGGGGGGAGACAAAGGAATTTCACTGTCCAGAAATCAACAGCAGACACCCTTGCAACAAAAAAAGCTGTGGCAATCACATTATTGTGGGTGTACAGATGCTTTTCATTCTCAGTATTTACAGATTTCATTGACATGAATGAATGCTTGGGTTTTTGACTTGGCTTGTTTAACCTTCTAAGAAGAATTCAGAGAGGAAGGGAAAGGAAAAAAGGGAAAAAAAGGACCCAAAATACAAAGTGCCACTTTAGGCTAGACCTTCTTTGACATTTTTGTCCAGAGATAAACAGACTTGATTTTATTAAAAGTGATTTCCAGAGGCTGACTAATGACTAGTTCTTTGCAAGAACTTCTTTTAAAGTAAACATGTATTAAAACTTAAACCCTAGTTCAGTGAAGCCATTAAACAAATGCTTGACTATTTCATTGTATCTGGAACAAAGCTCAACAATTGGTATATGTAAGCTAAAAAACAGATGGCTGTATGAAAGGAGCATAAAAGCTTTTCCTAAACTTCTGTTTTAAAAGACCTTTTTAAAAATTATAGCTAGTAGACAACCATTTCTTTTCAGAAAAAAATCTGCAGTCTAAAATAATAAATACTAAAGACAGTTCAGATTAGTCACAATCTTTTTATCAATTCAGTTCTGACCCTGATTTCCCAAATTGCTGATTTCTGCCTTCCCCCCAGACATTTAGGAACATGTTGCATACTGCTATATACAGTGACAAAGCATGACACCCACGACCTTAAGCATATACTGGCCTTGCACACATCTCTGCAGGTGCAGGCCACCGCTTCTCCTGCGAGCAGACTGTCCTGCATCATCAGCCATGTGCCTGTTTGCACGTTTCTGCTCTCAGAATACTCACAAAAGGACAAGGAAGGTATTCAAACCTTCTCTTGGCTTCTGGCAGAGTTACTTACAGATCCTACCAAAAGAAAAAAATCCTCCTGTGGTTACTCTTTCTGTTTCTATTCTCTCTAAAACCTACAAGCAATTTCAAAAATTCAAGTCACTATTGAAGATGTTTAGATGTTTTGCATTTCTACTACAATAATTCTTCTGTATAGTGTTGAGTTGTAAAAGACAGGACCTTTCACCTTTATCTCTAGATGTTAGAGAAGAAGAAAGGAGAAAAGAAGAAAAAAATGTTGTTTCTGTTATTCTGCTTATCCAGAGACCTGCCAACCAGACAGACCCAGAGTATCAAAGCTTTTACCTCTTCTTTTTTTTTTTTTCAGCTGGAAACTACCAGCTTCTTAAAAGCATTTGACCTGAGGAGAAGATATATTTCAGTCAGCTTATTGAATGGTATCTACAGAGTCCAGCCAGAATAAGTTGAGCAACCAAAATCTGAGTGAAGAAATCAGTGCAGTGGGATAGTGAAGGAGGAGAGTTGGTAGTGATGGAGTAAGAGACTGCCTGCTATGAAAAAGGCATATATTTCAACCTGGCAGGAATGATTTCTTAAATAGGACTAATCAATTAAGCCATCAATTAAATATGAGGCTTGACTGCAGTCTCTGATGAGAAAAAACAAGGTATCTTTATGAGTTGTCAGTATATTAGTATTTATTTTTCCATGCAAAAAAGTCTGACACATAGTCCCAAACAACACAAGAGGGAATACAGGAGAAACTGTATATAGATGTAGGACTGTACAAAAGGTATGTAAAAGAGGTAGAAAAAGGTACTGTTGGCTGGCAGCCACTTGCATGTCTCATTATGCACTTATTGTTATTTCTAAAAGATGCTTTACCTTGCACTTTGAGAACATTTCCCATTTTTCAGGAACAGAAGCACCATTGCAAAGTTCTTGGGGGAAAAAAAACCAACACCTCAACCCAACAATAAAGACTGTATGATTTTTCTCATCGAATCAATCTATTTTGGAAGGCTGCAGTCAGGTTAACCACCACTCCTACCTGATCTTCTTGAAGTTAAATTATGCATGAGCATTGAAGGCACAGGAGAAACTATTAAGATGGGGCACAGAACTACTCTTTCCAATACATTCATTGATATGAGAGGAGAAATACATAATCAAAGAGGGGGGAAAAACAGCCCAGATAGCATCAGCCAGGTTTAACTCTAAGCAACAGAAGACCTAACAGACAGACATCCATTCTATTTTTCTAGATTTAGATCCTTAATATTTTGTTGTAATTCACAGTGACTGAGATATAATGGTTAGATTTAGATTTATACCAGACACCCTATCACACTTCTCATCAAATCCATTAGAAACAGTTACGTAAAACAAGGACAGATAGTCAAAACAAGTAGTCACATACTTACCTTCATTATTTTCTAAAAATAGCTGTTCTTCAATATTCTTCCTTCTCTATTTATTAGGTATAAGGCACGCATAACAATAACAGGTTTGAGAGTATTTTATCAGTAAACTTCAGTGACACTCACTGGAACTTGTGGATTCTTGGGTATCCTAAACACTAGTGAAATTACCTTGTTTATATATTTAAGAAAATTTACCTGTAATTATTACTCACTTGGGGGTTGGTTGTTTTCCTTTTTCCCTTGTTCCTCCTAAA